CAGCAGGTGCAAAACTTGGTTAAAAAGTGGGAGAAGGGTCCCTCCAAAAAGTGCACGTATGGGTTTAGTTGCAGACGTTAGTCCAGTGTGTTCCCTGTTCTGGCTTCACGGAGGGGCTCTTGTCAAAAGGAATAGAAAGCATATTCCCTAAACATAGTAGGTGCTCAATAAGTGTTTGCTGAATGGTTGAATTTATTTAGAGGACATAGTTCAAGCAACAGTTGTTGACCAACTAATACCTCTTAGTGCCCCTTGGCCAGGGTTTTCTTTATTGTTTTCTGGGGTGTGGGAAGCAGGGGTACAGTCAGGCTCCGGTCTCCTAGTGCTCCCTGAGGGTGAGTGTGGGGACTGGTCAGTTCGGAGAAGCGTGGTGTCACCAGGAAGACCCACTGAGAGCTCTCTGTGTCTACTCTAACCTCTTCCCATGGGCCCAGGAAGTACAGAATCAGAGAAAGATCGGTTTGTATCAGTGAACTGGCAGAAGTTTGGACTGACAGGCTTTTTTTTTAAGATTTATTTTTTATTGAGGTAACATTGGTTTATAACATTATATGTTTCATGTGTACAACCTTATATTTCTACTTCCGTATGCCCCAGTGCGTGCTCACCACCATTTAGTCTCTGTCTGTCACCATACTTTGATCCCCTTTGCCCATTTCGCCCTCTCCCCACCCCTTCCTTTCTGCTAACCATTGCTCTGTTCTCTGTATCTGTGTTTTTGTTTGCTTTGGTCTGTTCATTTATTTTTTTTTGTTTGTTGGTTTGGTTTTTTATATTCCACATATGAGTTGAAATCATACAGTATTTGTCTTTCTATGTCTGACTTATTTCACTTAGCATAATACCCTCAAGGTTCATCCATGTTGTCACAAATGGCAAAGTTTCATCTTTTTTTATGGCTGAGTAGTATTCCATTGTGTGTATATACCACATCTTCTTCATTCATCCATTAGGCTATTGTAAATAATACTGCGATGAACATAGGGGTGCATGTAGCTCTTCAAATTAGTATTTCATATTCTTTGCATAAATTTCCAGAAGTGGGATTGCCAGCTCATATGGTAGTCCTGTTCTTAATTTTTGAGGAATCTCGATACAGTCTTCCATAGTGGCTACACCAATTTACATTCCCGTGGATTAACAGATTTTTTTTTTTTTTTTTTTTTTGCAGTACGCGGGCCTCTCCTGCTGTGGCCTCTCACGTTGTGGAGCACAGGCTCTGGACGTGCAGGCCCAGCGGCCATGGCTCACGGGCCCAGCCGCTCTGTGGCATGTGGGATCTTCCTGGACCCGGGCACGAACCCATGTCCCCTGCATCGGCAGGCAGACTCTCAACCACTGCACCACAAGGGAAGCCCGGATTAACAGATTTTAAGAAGACTTTCTAGTAGTATCTATAGAAACAAGAATTTTTCTGGTCAAGTTTCAGAATTATAAGACATTTGATTTTTTAAAATCAAGCATGTTGGGCTTCTCTGGTGGCTCAGTGGTTAAGAATCCGCCTGCCAGTGCAGGGGACACGGGTTCGAGCCCTGGTCCGGGAAGATCCCACATGCCGCAGAGCAACTAAGACCGTGCGCCACAGCTACTGAGCTTGCACTCTGGAGCCCGTGAGCCACAACTACTGAGCCCACGTGCCACAACTACTGAAGCCTACGTGCTTAGAGCCCGCATTCTGCAACAAAAGAAGCCACTGCAGTGAGAAGCCCGCGCACCGCAGCGAAGAGTAGCCCCTGCTCGCTGCAGCTAGAGAAAGCCTGCACGCAGCAGCAGACACCCAACGCAGCCAAAAATAAATAAATACAATAAATTTTTTAAAAATCAAGCATGTTAAGATTTAATGTAGCAATTTGATGGCCCAGGATGTCTGGTGAATAATTTTTATTTCTCTTTGTTGGTTTGGTTTTTAATTTAGTAAAGAACTAGTTATCTGGATTTAAATGAATGATGCAGCATCTGTAGTCCTGCAAGTTGTGTGGCTGGGAAGGAGGCATCACTGGCTTTGTTCAGAAGTGTTTGTAGGTTCAGTGGTCAGGCGAAAGTTGTGGTCAGAGACAGCAGAGATGTAGCTGTAAGTTAGCATTTTCCATCATTGTGCTGAAGTGAGAGATTCTGGAACGTGCTTCTTATCAATCGGCTGTGTGACCGTGGGTGAGTCCTGTCATCTCTGTAGGCTGGACTTTGGGTGGAGCTTGTGTCCATTTTATCCTCTGCTGTATCCCAGTCCCAGCTCAGGGCTTGGGCACATGACAGTGCCTGCCTAGTAAAAACGTGTTGAATAAACGATTGTAATAGTTTCCTGTGGTCGCTGTGACAAATTACCACAAATCTCGTGGCTGAAAACAGCACAGATGTGTTCTCTCCGAGTTGTGGAGGTCAGAAGTCTGAAATGAATCTTGCTGGGCTGAAATCGAGGTGTCGGCTGGGCTGTGCTCCTTCTAGGGGACGCTCTGGGGGAGAATCCGTTCCCTGGCCTTTTCCAGCTTCTAGAGGCGGCCTGCATCCCTCTGCTCGTGGCCCTCTTCCAACTTTAAAGAGCACCCCTCCAGCCTGTGCTACTGTTGTCAACCGCTTAGGGTCTGACCCTCCTGCCTCCCTCCTGTAAGGACCCTTGTGATTACCTTGAGCCCACCCAGATAATCCGGGATAATCTCCCCAGCTCAATATCCTTAATTTCATCACACCTTTGCCTGAGAAGGGGACATGTTCACGGGTTCTGGGAATTAGGACGTCAACGTTTTTGTTATTCAGCAGGTCACACTAGTTTGTAAAGAGTGCCAGGAGTCCCTCAGTATCCCATTTATAGCCCATGGAATGGTCTCCTATGGATGAATAAAAGACTCCATCCCTCTGCTGGGGCCCCTCCTTGGACCCCCGCTGGAGCTGTAGGGCCTCTTCAGGGCTGCCCTCTCAGGCTGCCCCATACATTTCCCACCTGGAGACCTTCAAAAGTGCTTATTTAAGCCTTTTCCTTTTAGACCCAGAGTCAGCAAGTTTGCAGGCCACTTGTCCTGTTGCATATTTTTTGTTTCTTTAAAACAAGTATGAAAAATGTAAAAAAACAATTTTTAGCTTGAGGGCCTTACAAAACAGGCCATTGGCTGGGACCCTGACTGGTGTTTGCCAACCCCTGTTTTAGACTGAGCTATGCAGGATGGGGCCACGTGTGGCCGTCACCTTGGTGGCAGTCTCAAGGGCTTTTGTTCATAGTGGAATGTGTGTGTGCCCATGTGTATTGGGAGGGATTCATGTTCCTACCCCAGTGATCTTTTCTGTTGGTTTGATATGACAAGTGTCTAAAATTAAGATCTCATCTAGTCTTAATGGAGAATTTCAGGTTGTTTTCCATTTGAAAGCCTATTAATTACTGGTCTGACACAAACACGATACAGTCCCTTTCCTGGAGGAGGGGCTCTCAGCCTAGTCTGGGGGAAGCAGCCAGGGGAGGTTATTACTAGTTCTGACTTTGGCAGAAACTCACTGGATCCAACTTCGGGGAGGGAGATTTAAAGATAAAAGGGGTGTGTCCTGGAACCCTTGGCATCAGAACTCGAATTTGGACACTTTTGGCTGGTTTCCCTCCCTGTCATCGCTGTTCCTTGCTCCTGGTACGTGAGGCCGGCACTGGGGAGGGTGGCTGGCATCGAGTGCTCTGACGTGTAAACTTGGCGAGCACCTGAGCGTTTCTGCTGGTTTGTTTCTTCATGGAGCCCTGTCTCCTGGACACTGCAGTGTGGTTCGCTTCCTGGGGATTGGGTGCTGCACGTGAGCCTCTCCCTTGGCTGGCTGTAGCTGCACCTGGTAGGTGACCCCTGCACATCCTATGCAGCTCACGACGCTCACCCCTAGGCATCCATTGAGGTGCCTGAGTGTTTCCGGATACAGATTGCGTGCTTATCTATTCCTGTACCTGAGACAGTGACCAGCGGGTCTTGAGTATCAGGTTTCATGTGAAATGAATGGAAGGATGGATGTACCCAGCTCACTGGATGTGCTCTTCTGGCCGGCGTGGCTTCAGAATAGTCATGAAATGACAGACCTTCCTGCTGCAGCTACACCAAGTGCCTGTTATGAGTCATGGATGTTTTCACAGTCTTGTCATTTTACCGACATGCCCAAACTGATGCTTTAGCTTTCTTTTCCATACATTAATTCTAATGGGAGGTAATGGTCACTTGTACAAGTTTTAGTTTTCCACGGTCAAGTTTAGAGCCAGTGAGGCCAAGGGTGAGGGTGGAATAAAAGGCACTGGAGCTGGCACATGGCCTTACTGAGTAGTGAAATGGATGAGCGAGGAAGTGAATGAGGAAAGTGCTCCTAGAGGAGCCTGTAGAAAGTTAGAAGGCGGCAGAGGGGAGAAGCTTCTTCCTTGGTCGGTTTTTCAGGATGTTCTCTGAGTGGAAGGCAGGAGTGGACAGTGAAGCCGCGGGGGCTCTGCACCAGGAGGCCTGTTCTCTGTTTGCCCCGTCTACACCTCAGAGAGCCCTGCTCTTGTTGCCTGAGCAGGTGTTTCCCTCTGGGTGCTGGTCCTTTAGTTTGAAAGGTACCTGCACCCGGCTGTTCCTGGGTGATTTCCTGACTGTGTGCTTCCCTTTGGTTTGGGTTTGCTCATCCTTGAAATGGACAGTAGCCTTCCATAAGGACGACCTTATTTTTGATGTGACGTGGATGTGCTACAAGGGGCGAGCATTTGTTTTTCCACCTTGTGGAGCTGTCCTTGACTCAGGGAGCGGACTCAGTGTGTAGAAGTTTACATCTCAGTGTGGTTGGTGAGTGATAGGGTCAGCTGCTTTTCAGGCAGGGAGAGTTCTTAGCGTTGCTCTTTAAATGTGAGCAAGGCTGCCCGTGCGCGCTAAGGGCATCTTTCTAGGGACAGAGTCCGTCCAAAGCGTTCTTCAGATCTTCAAGGAGATCCGTGATCCCTAAAGGATTCCGTCCACTGGATCAGAGGTTCTGGTGGATTAACACTCTTTTTGTTTTTTTTTCTCCCCACTTCAAAGGCAGATCGGGAGCGGTGCCGAGAAAAATTTCCTTACTAGATGACATTTCATCGCAATGTCCGATCGTTTGGGGCAAATAACCAAGGGCAAGGATGGGAAAAGCAAGTATTCGACTTTCAGCCTGTTTGATAAGTATAAAGGAAAATCAGTAGACTCGATCAGATCCTCAGGTAAGAGGGGGTTGGAGGCCAGTTCCTTATGCTTTCCCTTAAGTGAGAAGCTCCAGGTCAAGGATCAGGAAAACCTAGAGTCCCCTGTCTGGTCAGACAGGAGTGGTCCATGCAGACCAGTCTTCTGGGCACGTGATGGTGATCCTGTAGTTCAGGGGAAACACGTCACCCTCTGCTCCTAGTTGATGTATGATTTCAGAGCCTGGAATATCCTGACTCTGCTGTACTAGGATTATTTCCTCATCTGTCTTATCTTATTGAAGCCATGGATATTTTGAGCCCGATGGGCAGAATGGAATTTAATTTGCATTAGTTACCCCTTTAGGTTTCATGGTTCTGATATTCCGGAGCCTGGCGGGGAAAGTTCCTGTTGATTCTGTCCACACCCCTTGAGGATTTTATGAATGCCGGGGGCCCTGCTCAGGTTTGGCTTGGGTCTAGGCGAGGCTGTCCCTTCAGTCCTGCTGTAACGAGGCCAGAGCAGTCTCCCCTCTGCACAGGGCTAGTCATTCTGTGGGATGGAGGTTTCTAGGCCTGGCCCCTCTCCCATGTCCTAAACGCCCTGAGCCTTCTGCCCACGAGCAAACTGGAAGCCTCCGCACAAACTTCAGCAGCTCCTGTGTCTCTGAAGTCCTCGGTGAAGGGCTTGTAAAAGGACTGACTACAAGTGACCACCAAGCACTTTTCGTGTGTTTGCGTGGTGGGCCTGTCCCTTGTTTTTTGTTTGGTTGCCTCTGTCATTATCCTCTAGAGTTTGGAAGAGCAGCTGAATGAACCCGGCATCTTTCCTTCCATGACTTTCTGTGCAACATCTCTTTCCACCTCTCCCTCCACGCAGTTATTCCTAGACATGGCTTACAGAGTCTTGGGAAAGTTGCCACAGCCCGGCGTATGCCACCGCCTGCAAACCTGCCAAGCTTGAAGTCTGAAAACAAAGGAAACGACCCCAACATCGTTATAGTACCCAAGGACGGGACGGGATGGGCAAACAAGCAGGATCAGCAAGACCCAAAGAGGTGAGAGCAGAGGGGCGGGCGGAGGGCCGGGAGCTGGAGCTGCGTCCATGGCCGGCCCCCTCTCCTCCTGCAGGGGGCAGCTCTGGAGAACTGGGCAGGTTCCAAAGGAAGCTTCTTTCACCCCGACTCCTGCTACTTAGCAGTTTCTTGCTCCCTGCCTTCATTTTTTCCTGGCTCTGGGAGCCGATGCAACAGTGTTTCTGTGAGCTGCCTTTCCCTGGTGACCAGTGTCCCCTGTGCCTTGTTAAGAAGGGCTCACCTCTCCCAGAGGAGCCACTGTGGGGAGAGCTGAGCGCTTCACCTGGTTGGGGTCCCTGGGTGCTGGGCCCCAGGTGGAGAAGGTGGAGCCGTCCCAGCTGTTGGGGCAGCAGGGCCCCACACAGGTGCCTGCACATGCTCTGTAGGACTCAGTTACGAGGACAGCCACCCCAGTCCAGGCACTCGGGGTCAGCGCGCAGCCTCCCTGCAGGCCCACCCTCTGCCGGCACAGCACTTACGGGAGCCTTAGGAGGCCCGGGATCTGGCACAGAGATCATCATTAGAGGGATGTTGTGTGGTGGCGCTGAAAGTACGAGTGTGCCGCCTGAGCCTTCGTTCCTCCTTCCGTGGCCCGGCTGTGTTCTAGCCAGCGGTAGGGTGTCCAGGGAAGAGGATTGGGGTTTGCGCTGGGAGGGGTTTGGGGAAGGACGGGGCCTCTCTGAGGCTGGCAGGCAGAGCCCTGCTGCTGGGGTTGGCCGTGAAAACAGAGCAGTCCAGCCTCATACCCTCTCTTGCCCTGTGTCTCCCTTGTGGTCTGGCTGCTGATTGATACTCAGGACCCAGAAAGTAAAAGTGGCCCAGAGCACAGCCTGCCAACCAGGGTCCTTTTCTCTAATTGGAAGTGGCCAATAGCTTTTGTAAAACTTCTGTAGTTACTTCAGACAATATGTAGAGAGTGAGCCAATAATTCAGTCACATGATCAGTAATAACTGAAATTTTAAGACATTTTCTAACCGTTGGCTTAGGGATCATCCTGATTGACGGTATAGTGTGACTTTTAGAACTGGACAGATGTGTGTGATTTCCAGCCAGGCCGTTTATGGGACCTGGTTTATTTGACTTCTGAGCATCATTGTCCTCCTGTGAAGTACAAATGACACCTGGTTCCGGGGGTGGCTACACGAAATGGATGAGATTTGCCCAAGTCACGTATTTAGCACAGGGCCTGGCACAGAGGCGGTACGTGGCGGATGTCCTCATTCTGTTCAAGTGTAGACGCTGCAAACAGCTCAGCGTAAGTGTTGAAATGCCTCTGCTACTGAAAGTTCTAGAGAGAGAGGACAAAGCCTTGCTCCCTCCTTTTGTCCGGTCTTATGCACCAGTGGCATTGAAAGCGTCGGGCATCTTCAACGAGGCCAGTGTGCTGAAGCATGTTTGCCAGCCAGAGGTGAAGAGCGAATGTTGGCGGGGGCAGCAGACCCCGGCGCTGCTTCTCTGCCTCCCCTGGGCCACATCCTCACGAGGCTGTCAGGGAGGTGGCCGAGCAGGGGGGCCAAACCTGCTGGGACTCAGTGTTTGGAGACCACAGAAGTGACACCACCTGGAAGCATCTATTTCAGGTAGAAGGTGATGTGAGAGAGGAGGGTCAGTGGCCTTCATTGTGTAATAATCACAGGTGGTGAGTTACTCGGTTGAGTAAGCCTTGGATGTGTGTAGAATTTGGCTTCATCTGAGCCACCGGCATTGGGTGGATTCTGGCCAGGGGATTGCTGTCCTCCTTGAAGCTTGTCGCGTGGAAGGTTGAACAGAACGAGTGACTGGAAGGCTGCAAGTTGGCAGAAATCTTCCTTCAGAACCTTTCTTATTGCTCTCAGAATATGACTTGTGGGGTATAGATCGACAGACGCACCTTTGCTGGAGGGTAGCTCCACGGCATCTTAAACTTTAAAACGTCCTTTGATCCAGCTGTCCCACTTCTAAGAACTTAGACTACTGAATTGCGTACACACAAGTGTGCCAAGATGTGTACACAAAAATGCTCGTTGCAGTTTTATCTGTAATAGAAGAAAAATTGGAGGTTGGCACATTGTGGCCCATCCACCTGTACTGTGTCATTAAAAGAAAGCAGTAGATCCGTGTGTGTTGTCACGAAAAGATGTCAAGGACATTGAGTAAAACACGAGTTGCTGGACTGTATGTATGGTGTTACCCTACTTGTGTTACAAAATGCTATGCTAATATACGTAGAAAAATCTGCTTGAGTTTCTCTCCGGAGGATGAGATCGTGACAAATTCTGTGTTATATGTATTTATTTATTTTTATCATGAGCATATATTTCTTTTATAAGCCAAGAGAAGGTTTAAAAAAAAAAAATCTGCTCATGCTTCAAAGAGATCAGCCCCTGAGGAGCTGTGAGCTCTTGGTCAGGAGTGAGGGGCGGGAGCTCAGAGCCCATTCCCTGCCCCAACGCAGTCTCCCTCGTGACAGATCCTCCATCACTTCTTTGTTGGCCGTGAGCTTTCAGTCTTCACAGACAGAAGGCTCTACGGAAAGGCAGAGGGCTGGCCTGTCCTATCAGGTGTCGGTGAGCAGACCTCACACGTGGTCCAGTTTCTCGTTGCCTTGGCCAGCCTAGGAGTCTGCCGGGAAAGGTATTTTTATTGGCCAGAGGTGGTCTTGCTCCCAGCCAGCGAGCAGCCGTGTCTCTCGGGAATGTGGAGGGACCTTGTGGGCATGGCCGGTGCCTGTCTAATTCCTGTGTGTGTCCTGCCTTTGTCTAGTTCCAGTGCGACGGCCTCTCAGCCGCCGGAGTTGCTGCCGCAGCCGGGTTTGCAGAAATCTGTCTCCAATTTGCAGAAACCGACACAGTCGATCAGTCAGGAGGTAGGTGCTGGGGACCCGGTCCCGATGCTTGCCTAGGCGTCGGCGCCTCTGAGCTCCCTGGCGCTGGGGACCAATGGGAGCTATCGCTGAGAAGCATGGCTCTGCGTGACGTGCTCATTCCAGAGGCAAACCTGATGAATGACTCTTGGGAAAGACCCCAGATGCAGAATAGAATATAGACGCCTAATTTGATTCCAGTTGCCTTAGCTTGAGGTGAGTCACTCTGGCAGCTACAGGCTAGATCGGGCCCCCCGCAGTGTCTCCCCAGAAGCAGGTGTCATAAGGAGACAGCAAGTGTTAGGCTACAGAAGGTTCAGTGGTCTGGTGAGTTTGGAAAACAAAATGAAGCCAGCTCCTTCACTTGGTTTTCTTAATGTCATACTTTCTCTCGGTGTCTTCAGTATGCTAATGTGTCCTGTGAGTCTCCGAGAAAAGGACATCATGGACAGCGGTCCCGAAATGTATTTGTCTTTGGAAACCTTTTCGTCGAATGTCTCTAGAGACTAGTGTCTCTCAGAGCATGCTGTGGGAAATACCGAGCTGTGATCCTTTATTTGTCGCTGCACTTCATACGCCTCTAAACAGAGTCATGATTTAATCAAGAGCTCATATCCTACTTGGCCCACTGGTGTCTGTCTGTGGGTACAGAGGCCGGTATCCGGTAGCTGGAAATCTAGGCGAGGTGTCTGAATCTTTTAGAAGACCAGAAAAAATCTAGACAGATACCAGGCGTTCACTGGCTCCCTTGAAAGAATGACTCAGTTTGCATTGCTGCCTGGGCAGTAGAAGGACCGAGGTGCCATCCCCATCTGCGGGGAAAGCTTATGGCTTTACCAGAGGGACACCCTCCCTACCCAACACTGAACTGTGCTTTGAAATTAAAGGAGAAGCAAGAAGAAATCCACATTCATGCGAGACTGCATGTTCATTGGCCTAAATCCACTGGGACCTGCTGAACCGTCAGAGCATGTAGTGTGGAGTTCGTATCTGTTTCCCAGAATTTGAAGCTGAGTGCGATTAAGGAGCCCTGGTTGTTTCTACAGCCCTGGCTCTACGTCAGACTCACCTTCCAAGCTTGTTAGAGACGAACAGGCCTGGGCCGGGCCTGCGTGCGGCTTGGGCACCTGTGGAGCACGGGTGCCGCGGGGACTGCGGTCGGGTCGGGCCCTGTCCTGGAGCTGGCACGCGGGCCCTCCGCCTGGTGCTTACCAGCTCTCCTCTCGTGCGGGGACGGTGTTGGGAGGAGACCCCCGGTGGTTCCCAGCTTTGGGGTGAGATTTGCCACAGTGTTAGTAACCCCTTCGTGGCCCCTAGGCCTTCTCTTCCGGTTTAGTGCCTTCGGTGGGTGAGGGCGGGGGCCGTCCCTGTGGCTTCAGGCTTGGCTGCAGACCCCAAGCCAGAGGCTGTGGGAAGGCAGTGCCCTGGGGCCCCTCTGCTTCCTGCTGGTCTGGAGCCTCGCCCTTCCCTCAGGGGTTGTTGAACCCCAGCAGGGGCTGCCCTGCCCCTGTCACGGTGCTGGCATTTCCCTCGTGTGGTCTGCATGGGGACCCTGGGCGTTCCAGGCCACTCAGGTCAAGCACTCAGGGCAAGTCTGTGATAAATACATGCGTTATTGCACCTACTCAGCTCTGCATCGAAGGCAAGAGAGACGGCCGTCTGCCTTGAGTGTGTGTGGTGGCAGCGGCAGGGGGAGGATGGGAAGGGGTAACTGTTTTTCCAGGATCTAGTCCAGTAAGTGATGGAACGTCATGCTGCGTCAGCTTGGATCTGTGTATCTCTGCCTTCGGTTGTTAAGAAGCATGTTGTTGGGAAGACAGCTGAGTTCAGTGGTTGGGGACCTGAAGGGGCTTTGGGCGCGGGCAGGGTGGGGACAAGTCCTGGTCCCGCCTCACTAGCTGAGTGTCTAACCCAAGTGACCCAGGTGTGCCTAGCACCATGCCTGGCGTGCGGTGAGCTTTCAGCAGAGGTGAGCCGAGCCGGGCAAGCCCACATGAGTGGAGGCGGAAGGCCTCGCACCTGGGGAGCGGTGCCTCGTGGCACGGCGGTAATTGTGGAAAGTGGTGCCGCCGCCTGGCCAGCGACTCATCAGGCACGTGAGCTTTCCCGCGCGCGTGTCCTGTTAGCGGCGCCACCCAGTTTTTCAGACACACTAGAATTGGGGTTTGGTCTTGTCCTTGGAGCAAGACAGAGTAGCTCTGTGTGGGCATGAGAGGCAGCCTGGCAGCATGTTCCGAGCGCACCGCTGGCTCTGCCGTGGGACCCTGAGCTGGCCGCTTGCCCTCCGGCCTGCCCCTCGTCTGTCATGTGGCCGTGGGTCCTGACCCTGGGCTGTTGCCCGAGTGGGAGGCTGCGTGGAAAGCCCGCATGGTTGGACCTTACCCCGCTGGTGGTGGTGGGTACATCAGTGTAGGGTCTGGACCTAAGGTGAGGATCCGAGGGCACCTTGTTCTGACTCGCTCAGGGAGTGGACCGCAGACCCTGTTCTCATTGTCTTCCTTCTTTCAGAATACAAATTCAGCGCCAGGTGGACCAAAGTCATGGGCACAGCTGAATGGAAAGCCAGCAGGACACGAAGGTGGTAAGTGTGTGTGTGGCGTTGCGGTGGGCGGGTGGGAGGGAGGTGTGCCTTTTCTGGGCTGCTCCAGTTCTGTCCAGGCAGTCTTCGGCTTGCAGCTTTGTGGACTCTCCTCCCTGAGCGAGTTCCTGCCTTTGCCCCGGCGGTGGAAGTGCTGATTCGGCAGAGCACTTCGGCTCCTTGCTTTCACTGAACATTATTGCTAAGGACAGCCCTCCCAAGGTGTGCGGAGGAGACCGGGCGCTGGCCCTGGGCTCCGTTGTCGGCTGAGCTGCTATTGGAGCGAGTCCCCGGACCCCGGGGAGGAGGTGTTGCCTACGGGGCGCTGGCTTTGTGCCTGGGTTTGTACATCAGCAGCCTCGGGCACTGCTTGCTTTTGGGCAGTGACACCAGAGCTTGTGGAGGTTGCGTGGTATTTGTTACCACTGGTGTCCTGCCTGACACAGGGACTCAGACGGCTGCAGTGGTTCAGCACAGGGACGATGTGGGGTGAGTGGAAGGGGAAAGCATCCCGAGTTTTAAGTGAATGCCTAGCAACAGACTGAAATGGCTCCAAGGCAGGCCCAGAGCAGAGCGGCCCCCGAGTGGCATGGCTGAGGGGCGCTGGGGCAGAGAGAAACCTGGCTCCCCTCCAGCATCTGGAGCCCTTTGAGAATGTGGGCCCAGGGTCCACGGGTGTTCTTGAGAGGAGCCAAAAACCCAGATTCTTCTACATGAACTCTCCTGGTTTCCCAGTGTAGGCGTGCGTATTTCTAGCACGCTGTGCAGAGCACGCTGGGCGGCGCCCCGAGCTGGATGGAGAGGGACGGTGGTGTGAGTGGCTACACCGCAGTCGCTTTTTTTTCTGTAAACCAGCACGGGCTGCCTTTTTTACCCTTGGCTCCTGTCCCGGCACTGCCCTCTGTCTTCTGCGTATCCCTGCCGGCCAAGGCCTGGCCAGACTTTACGTTTTATGGCTTAGAGTAGAAAACCAGCTCCGTGTGCCACCTTCCCCACACAGCCCTGCCACTCCGATGCCCCAAGGACGGGCCCCTCTGGCCTCCGGTCGCTGTGCGGTTGAAGGCCCACCCCTTCCTCAGCCCGAAGGTGTGCCGGGGGCTTTGGAGCCGCAGCTCGCCTAGAGGAGAAAGGACAGGGGGAGCTCAGCTGGCTGCCCCAGCCTGGAGGGTGAGCGGGGCCAGGTGGGGCGGGGATGCAACAAGGCACTGCAGACCGGAAGCAAGGTCTTCACAGAGGCATGACGGAGATGATTCACTGGCCTGTTAACAGTGGTTCTTTGCTTTCTATAGCCTTCATTTCCATAAGGTTGGAATTTCCTTAAGTAAATGGAATATTCATTTTAATTTAACAAGAACTTACAGAGATTAAAAAAAACTAGTGTAAATTGGCACTGCCTGTCACACACAGCAGCACGAATACCCTTTGACCTGGAGGTTCCACTTGGAGGAAATCACCCTGTAGATGATACTTACAGCTGTGTGAAATGACATGCACGAGATTATTCATTGCAACGTTGTAATAGCAAAAGATTGGACACAGTCCCTTGAAATGTACGTCAAAGGATGGTACTTTAATGAAATACTGCTTGGCTGTAAGGAAAAAAAGCAGTTTTCTACCGATCTGGCAAGATCTCCAGGACATATTCTTAAGTGAAAAAAAGTGTGGAATAGTACGCAGAGTATATTACCATTTGTGCAAACAACTGGGGAGAGGGAAAGTACGCTTCTAAAAATGTTGTATGCGCATTAAAAAAAAATCTCTGGAAGGAATCATAAGAGGAAGGGAGAGAAGGAACAAAACAGAAGACTACCTGTTTTGTGAGGGTGTTTGAAGTGGGCAGATGGGGCACGAGGGTAGGAGGTAGGCTTCTGTTTACGCTCTTTTAAGGCTTTTTACCTTTGAACCTTTTGATTGTATTACCTATCAGAAGAAAACTTGATTTAGAAAATAATCCTAAAACACAGTAAAATACTCTGTAAACATGTGATAGCTCGCCTGGGAGACGGCAGAGCCCAGCAGCCCAAGAGGAGAGAACAGACACGTGCCGACCAGGTGGGGCCGGGGCGGGAACCCGGCTTCTGGTTCCCCTCCTATGCCGGGGTCACAAGCCCGCGATGCCACCAGGGCTGTGGGGATTTGGGGGTGTGGCCCGCAAACATTTTCATGACTCTTTGGAACTCAGAAGGGTTCTTCCTGAGTTGACAGACTCTCTCCATGTAGAAGGTGGTCGTTTGGTCTGTTTCACTTGGATCAGGCCCAGGAGGCCTGCTTGTGTGGTTCAGGCAGAGGCCAGAGGCACATGGCTCGTGGGCTCTGCTGCCAGAGCACCACCGGCGGCTCCATCTGGGGCCTCAGAAGAAGCCCCTGATTTCACTGCCTCAGTTTCTCATGGCAGAGAACAGATGGTAGGAGGGATTGGTGGGTGAACATTACAGGGTGTTCAAACCTTAGGAATACTACTACTTTGGTTTGAGATTTTGAGTTCTTCACTTTTATCTTTTTTATCTGTAGAGGGTAAGTTTAATTCATGATTAGAATAATACCTTCATGACTGTTGAGGCAGAAAAAAAGTACTAGGCATTTGCTGTTGTTGTTGTTGTTTTTTTTTAAATTTCAAATTATCTACTTTTTTTCTTTTCTTTTGGCCGCGCTGCACGGCATGCAGGATCTTAGTTCCCCGACCAGGGATGGAACCCGCTCCCCCTACAGTGGAAGCGCGGAGTCTTAACCACTGAACCGCCAGGGAAGTCCCTCTACCATATTTTAAAAGCAAGACTTTCGTATTTCATTCTTGCCAGTGACCTTTTGACATAATGAAGCAACTATGTGAGCAGTAGTGCTCCTTTGCGACACTTGGCGATTATCTCTCAGGTTAATCATTGGTTGATAATGTGTCCAGTTATCCCCCCGGCATGTTCATTTGACCCTGGACCTTTTTACTAAGTGGGATGGTGGATGAATCACCGCCTCGTGCATCTGCACTAATCCCTGCTGCCTCTTTCCGGCAAAGTCTGCCTGAGTGAGCAGGTCCTCAGGTCAGCAGTACCTAGGGACGGATTTGGCTGTATTGTCTAGGGGTCAAAGCGTGTCACAGTTGGACATTTTACTGTGTGATATTGCGGTTATTAAGCTTGTGTGGTGCTGGACCTGTGCTGTGTATTCCAGGAGAGGGACCAAATCCCACTCTAGACCCTGAAATGCATCGTTTATTATTATGTATTCATTGAAGAGACGCTTGCAGGTTCCCGGTGCTAAGTGCCGTGAGGGGTTAGAACGACGTTAAGAAAAGGCCTCTTCTCCGCGAGTTCATAGTGTAGGGGAACGGATGAAAGAACAAAGAAGTTGTTCCCAGATTGCAAGAGCGAAACGTTTGGTCTTGTAGGGCTTGAGGATCTCTGTAGAAAATAGTAAACTGGAGTGGACAAACGAAGAGGCATAAATCTAGGGTGAGGGTGTAAATCTAGGGTGGAGGCGTTGGGGGCCAGGGCATTACCTCCGCCCAAAAGCAGTTGGCTTCACTGGGCTGATTTCACCAAAGACCGTGCTTATCCGCCCCCCAGGGCCACTGGAAGGACCTTACTGCCTTCTTCCAGGAGTGGGAGGGAAGGATCTGGGCTGGAACCGCTGCCATACCTCACCCCCTGCCCTTTGTGACCAGCTCCTGCAGGGTGGCTGGCAAGGGACCTGGTGCGGTCTGCGGGCAGCCTCCCTTTGTCAGGGAACCCTAGTGCCACTCTGCGGGCACAGAAGGCCAGCGCAGACAGCACCCCAGGAAGGAGCTCCCTTCAGGGCAGCGTGGCTGCCAGCGTGTGCCGTTGTTAAAGCAGAGAAGTGTTGATGCCCATCTCACTTGCTCCATACGTCTTCCCAACTCTCTTGACAGGTTTAAGGGCCTCAAGCCGACTATTATCCTTCTCTCCCGAGGAATTTCCGACGCTGAAAGCAGCTGGAGGGCAGGACAAGGCTGGCAAAGAAAAGGGCGTCTTAGATCTGTCGTATGGGCCAGGACCAAGCCTCCGCCCTCAGAGTAAGTGAACTGCAGCCCCTGTCTGGGCACCCATGGGAACAGCAGAATTTCCCCTTGTCTTTCTGCCCTCTTAGAAGCATGCTGTTTCTCGAGGAGCCAGGTTCCCTGCCTGGAAAGCACGACCGTTGATCCTGTACCTGATCCATGCGTCTGCTGGACTTATTCCCTGGGCTGGGCTGGAGGTCACTCCTCCCTTCTTGTCCTTTGGGTCAGGCCAGGCCTGTCCGCCTTCCCAGCAGTCATCAGATGTTAATTCTGCTGTACCTGGGTGGTCACGGCAAGGACAGACAGACCAAGGGTCAATTAACTTGATTCCCGATTCAGGAGCTTTTTTTCTAATCAGTGGCTCCCAAACTTGGCTGAATCCTGTCAGAATCACTTCGGGCGTTTGTTAAAAAGTCTTGATTTCCAACCCTCGCCCATCCCCAGCCAAATTAGAATCTGTTTTTTTTTTTTTAACACGTTCCCCTGGTTGAGTAGCCGGCCCAGCACTAGCCTTCACGACCCCTCATCTGGGGTCTGGCCAAGGGGTCAGCAGGATTGTGTAGCAATTCTTACTGGTACTATTTTTTTCTTCGTGGTCTTGGGTGGTTAGTATTCAAGGTGTTATTTAGGAGAGGGGTTTTCCATCTGTTCTAATCACGGATTCTGAAGTAGCCCTTGGGGCGGGGAGTTGATCAGGTTTTGAAATATGAGGGACTTTTATCTGCTTGTTTTCATTAATCCCCAGGGTATCCCAAAGTGAGAACAGATATCCTATAAATGAAACAATCACTGTGCAGCTCTCATAAAACATACGGCCTTTTCAGCGGCCTGTGCTGGGGTATTTTGGCTGCTCCAAATACATAATCAAATTCCTTAGGCCAGGAACTTTAACTTTCTGGGATTAATTAAGATGAGCTGCTATAGGATTATAACCGTTTAGAACTAGAAGCAGCTTCTGGGATCACTCCCATCTCCTCGTTTGAGAAGATGAAGAAGCAGATGGCCTGAGGGGTGTACCAGGGCTTGGCCAAGATCATGCACGAGGTACCTGAAGAGCTGGGAGCAGTCTGTGACTTTGTGGCTCCGGTCCTGGGTTCCATTCTCTTAGGGGTCAGGTACTCAGGGACCTGTTTCAACTCCTAACTACAAGTTGACTGGAGAGAGGAGTGACTCTTTGGCTCATCTGATTCCTCGTTGGCCTCTGAATTCCACCAGGCTTTGCTACATTTGCAGTGGAAAGCCTCGTCTTAAAAAGATGGTCAGAGACGGTTGGCAGGTTTCAATCTGTGACCTGTGGGAGGGCCCCACAGGCCGCTGCCAGAGCAGGTGGGGCGAGGCCCGGCGGGTAGGGCCCCAGACCCTTCCAGCCCCCTCTCGGAGAGGGGAGAGCAGCTCTGCTTTACTTCACAGCTGGGGAGTCTCTGACTAGAGGTGCCACTGCTGAGTGGAGCTTGAACACGCGTCCGGAACTCTCTCTGGTTCTAAAGTCCAGTCCAGCGCTGGGCACAGTGCTGGTCCTGTTGGGGTCAGCATGATTGTGGAAGAAATGGCCCAAGGCTGCTTTCATTGGGGCCGTCTTGGTGTCTTTGGAGTGTCAGGTCTGAGGTTGTGTAGTTTCTGAGAGTCAATGAAGACCACGTCTTGTTGACACTTGCCTTCTCTCTGAGTGGACCTTATTTTGTGTTTCTCTGACAGTCAGACTCCCTCAGCAAGTTCATATTCATTGGCCAGGTGTCTGCCCCCCACCTTCCCTGACAGACTTGACCAGTCGACTCGATTCTTCACTTTTGTTTTTTTTATTTTTTTTAAATTTTTTGGTGAGTGAGGGGGGTCCCTTGACCTTCAGAACCTCATACAATCCCTCCTCCCCCTCCTCTTTCCTCTCCCCTTTTGCCCCCTTTCAATTTCCAGATGTGACAAGCTGGAGGGAGGGCGGTGGGCGAAACATAATTTCTGCCACGTCTCTGAGCGCCTCCCCAACTGAGCTGGGCAGCAGGAACTCGAGTGCGGGAGACGGAGCCCCCTCCTCGTCATGTACCAGCGATTCTAAGGACCCCTCTCTCCGCCCGGCTCAGCCTGTCCGAAAAGGGGCTTCACAGTTCATGGGGAATGTATACCACCCACCTACATACCATGACATGCTTCCTGCTTTTGTAAGTCTTCGGAGTGTGCATTTTTTTCCCTATGAGGTCCGATTGTTCACGTCCAGCAGAACCTACTTCACGTGGTTGAATGTCCACCTTGGGTTCTCCCTCCCAGTTTCTTTGCCCTGATACCCTACTTTGGAGGCTTCCATTACTTTTGCATTTTCTCTCCTCCTTTTCAAATCTTAAGGGCCTCTGGCTTCTTGCCCTGGTGATGTGGATGTTATCTTAGCCTTAGCTCTTTAGAAGAAGGAGAGGCAGGTATATTCCCCAAGACACAGGTCCCCAGATTTGCATACTGACAGCAGGAAAGAAATGGGGGAGATGGTGATTGGTAGGATTAATTGGGAAACCCCAAGACTTTCCTGTTTCTTTTTCCCATTTTCCATTTTCCAAAACAAATTTTAATGCAAGTGGAACTTAGAATCTGGGTCATTACCAGAAAACCCTGTTCGTTGATGTTATGTTTCAGATGTGTTCGCCACAGTCATCAGAGAACCAGGGTACAGTGGAACGAGGATCTTTTCCCCTTCCCCAGCTCCGCCTTGAACCCCGTGTTCCTTTTAGACAGTTCCAGATGAATGACCAAGACGGGTAAGGCTATTGCATTATAGTCACGTATGTGGAAATTAGCCTGGTTGGTGATATTGGACAAGATAGTGGGCTTACATATGAAAGTGCTTTGTCTTCCGGAGACCTCGGAGAAACCAGCTCAAGACCCAGGGTGTGTGAGAAGGCTGGGGCAGGACAAGAGATTTCAGGTTCCTGGCAGGTGAAGATTTGGCATGTGTTTATTGCTGCTACCCTAGACATTAGCCTGAGCATATAAAACTGCAGAATGAAGCAGAACTTCTTTCGAGGATGTATTTGTTCACTGTGTGTTCTTTAAAAAGGAGACGGTTTTAATATTAAGGGCACACATGAACCTTTGCAGTGTAGGATTTAGTTTTGGAAAAGTATTTGGGTTTGCTTCCGTGTGTATACTTGACACGAGTCCAGCATCTTAACCCTTCTCTCTCTCATCAGAAAAGAAAACAGGCTGGGAATGACTCGCCCGATCCGTCCACTGAGGCAGCTGGTGGAACGGGCGCCGAGACCCACCATCATCAACGCGGAGAACCTGCGGGGCCTTGACGACCTGGACACCGATGCTGATGACGGCTGGGCAGGTGGGTGGGGGTGTTTGCTGGTGGGCTCACAGCTGAGGGTTTAGGAGGGGAGGACTGCGGTCTGTGTCTGCTTACCAAGGTTGGAAGTCCTCTGACACCAAGCCCACTGTTTTCCTCGGCAAGTTGGAATGAAGACATGGGGCAGGGAGCAGCCTCGGTGCCGTGAAGAGATCCTTGTTGGTTGGCACTCAGACGAGCAGTTGCTTCCTGACAGCCATGTCTTCTTTTGTCTTTGGTCTTGTTCTTAGAGGGGGAAAAAAGACTTTGTATAATGGAAAAGTTAAAACAAACGAGTGTAATGAACCCCAGGTAGCTCCCTGTCACCGAGTTTCAGCATTTCAGCAAATGCCGACATTCTGCATTCTCATCTTCACCCAACCCCACCCCCCAACCTGATTATTTTCTTTTAAAATTCTTTTGGATTGTTTGTTTTCAAGTAAACTTTAACGGCATTGAAAGGCACACATTTAATTTTACAGTTTTGACAGAGGTATATGCTTGAGTAGCAGAGCCGAGTCACGATACAGAGCACTTTCCTCACCACCCAGCCCCTCCCTAGCCAGTCTCCCTCCCGGCCTGTGTCCAAGACTCGCCCAAGGCCTCCCTGTCTTACGATGAATCTTAACTGCAAACTGCAAACGAATGGAGTCCTACAGCTTTCCTTCTCCTGTGACGTTTGTGAGATTCATTCATGTTATGTATATCGATAGTTGCTTTTAATTACTGAGGTATATTTCATTGTATCAAATACTATAATTTGTTTACCCATTCAAAAGTTCCATTATGGGGCTTCCCTGGTGGCGCAGTGGTCGGGAGTCTGCCTGCCGATGCACGGGACACGGGTTCGTGCCCCGGTCCGGGAAGATCCCACATGCCGCGGAGCGGCTGGGCCCGTGAGCCATGGCTGCTGAGCCTGCGCGGTCCGGAGCCTGTGCTCCGCAACGTGAGAGGCCGCAGCGGTGAGAGGCCCGCATACCAAAAAAAAAAAAAAAAAAAAAGTTCCATTATGAATAATATGTTCATTTCTCTTGGGTAAATATCTAGGAGTGGAATTGTTGAATTAAAGGGTAGGTGTGTGATTAGTTTTATAAGAAGCACCCAAGCTTTTTTCCATGGTGGTTGGTGATGCCATTCCCAGCCTCGATTTTGAGAATTTAGTTGCTCTGCATCCTCACAGCACTTTGATGTGAGTCTTTTTATTTTTAGCCATTCTAGTGGGTGTGTAGTGGTATCTCGTTGTGCTTTTAACTTTCATCTTGCTGATGACTAATGATGATAAACACGTTTTCATGTCGATTTGCCTACTGGTGTCTTTGTGTGTCTGTGTGTGTGTTCGGATACAAGTCCTTGGAGACTTAACATTTCACAGATATTTTTTCCAACTGCCTGCCTTGTCTGTTCATTTTTTAGCACTGCGTTTTGATGAGCAGAAGTTTTCAGTTTTGATGAAGTTTAACTTACAAATTTGTGTTTTTTATGGTTTTTACTTTTGTGTCCTTTATAAAAAAATCTGTCTCTCCTTGGTGGCAAAGGTACTCCCTTATGTTTTATAGTTTTAACACTTATTTTTGGATCTGTGATCTGTGATGTATTAATTTGTATATGGTGTAGGATAGGGGTCGGGGTTCATTTTAATAAATTGGGTTGTCTGATTGTTCTGCACCGTTTGTGATAAGACTTTTCTTTCCCTATTGAGTTGCTTTGACACCTTTGCCAACAATCAGTTGACCGTATAAGTGTGGGTCTATTTCTGGACCCTGTTTGTTCTGTTGATCTGTTTATTCATCCTTATGCCAATAGCACGCTGTAGCTTTATAGTAAGTTCTAAATTCAGTGGTGTAAGTTCTCCAGCTTTGTTCATGTTTAAGATTATTTGACTATTCTAAGTTCTTTTCATTCTCATGTAAATTTAGAATCAACCGGTCAGTATTTTAAAAGCCTGCAGGCATTGTGATTAAGATTGTGTTGAATTTATTTCTGGATAAATGAAATCTTAATTTTGAACCTCTTGTCCAGTAACTTGGTGAAACTTTCTCTATTAGGGCTTTCATGTCTCTCAGCAGTGTTTTATAGTTTTCAGTATAGAGGTCTTGAACATCTTTGTTATGTTTATTCCTGAGTATTTTATGTTTCTTGACGCTATCGTAAATGGTACTGGTTTAAAAAAAAAAGAAAAGTTTTGTTTTTTAGTTTTTGATGCTATTATATAGACATACGTAGAGTTGATTTTTGTGTGTGGACCTTGTACCAGACAGTTTGCTGAATGCATTCATTAGTTTTACTAGCTCTTGTTGATTTCTTAGAATTTTCTGCATAAACCATCATGTTGCCTATAAATAGGGACAGATTAAATGCCTTTTCTTTTTCTTGCCTTATTGCCGTGCAGTACTTCCAGTACAATGTTGTATTCAGGTTCTGTATTCCTGATCCTAGGGAGAAAGTGTTTAGTGTTTCACAATTAAACATGATGATAGTTGTAAGGTTCTTGGAGATGTTCTTTATCAGATTGCGGAGATTCCTTTCTATTTCTAGTTTGCTGATGTTTTTTTAATACATTTATTTATTTATGGCTGCGCAGGCTTTCTCTAGTGGCGGCGAGTGGGGGCTACTCTTTATTGTGGTGGGCGGGCTTCTCATTGTGGTGGCTTCTCTTGTTGCAGGGCACGGGCTCTAGGCTCGTGGGCTTCAGTAGTTGTGGCACGCGGGCTCAGTAGTTGTGGCTCGCGGGCTGTAGAGCACAGGCTCAGTAGTTGTGGCGCACGGGCTTAGTTGCCCCGTGGCATGTGGGATTTCAGTTCCCCAACCAGGGATCAGACCTGCGTCCCCTGTATTGGAAGGTGGATTCTTAACCACTGGACTACCGGGGAAGTCCCCCTGATTTATTTTTTTAATGCTAACCAACCTTGCATCCCTAGAATAAATTCCACCTACGTCTAGATTCAATTTACTGATATTTTCTTAAGATTCTTGGTGCCTGTGTTCATGGCGGATATTGGTCTGTAATTTTCTTTTAATATCGCCCTTGGGTTTTGATATCAGGTTTTGCTGGGCTCATAAGATGTGTTGGAAAACGTTCCTTCCTTCTCTACTTTCTGAAAGAGTTTCTGTTAGATTGGTATTAGTTTTTTCGTAAATGCTTGATAAAATTCGCCAGTGAAACCGATTGGCCCTGGAATTTTCTTTCTAAAGACATTTGTGATAATAGATTTAACTTCTTTGATTAGTTATAGGGCTGCTCAGGTTTCCGATGTTTCTGTGTCAGTATTTCATAAGTTGTGATTTTCAAGGGAGTTGTGATTTTCAAGGGATTTGTTCCTTTCTTTTGAGTTGAACTTAGTGGTGTAAAGTTGTTGATAATATTCCTTTTTTTTTTCTTCTGATGTCTGTAGGGTCTGTAGTGATACAGGTATCACCCTTTTTCATTCCTGATAATTAGCTAATTTGTATTTTTTCTCTTTTTCTTGTTCACTTCTGCCAAAGGCTTAGTAGTTTAATCTTTACAAAGAGACGGCTTTTGGCTTTAGTTTTCTCCATTGTTTGATTGTTTTCTAGTTCACCAATCGTTTTAATTGGAGCTTTCTAGAGTTCTCATTTAATTCCATTGTAGTCAAGAGACCATATTCTGTATGACTTCAGTTCTTTCCAACTTATTAAGACTTGTTTTATGACCAAGATATATGGCCTATCTTGGTGAATATTCCAAGTGCATTTGAAAAGAACGTGTGTTCTATAAGTTGGATATCACATTCTGTAAATATCAGTGTAGTCAAGGTGGTTGGTAGTGTTGTTCAGATCTTATATACTTACATTTTTGTCTAGTTCTACCAGTTACTGAAAGTGAGGTGTTAAACTCTCTACTATAATTGTGGATTTATCTATTTCTCCCTTTAATTCTGTCAGTTTTTGCTTCATTTATTTTGAAGCTGTTATGCACATTTATCATTTTTATGATTCTGACGTATTGTCCCTTTATATTGTTTTCAAATATCCTTTTTTATCTCTCGTAACACTTCTCGTCTTGGAGTCTGTTTTGTCCTATGTTAGTATCATTGCTCTGACTTAAATTATTTATTGTTGTCATGGCGTATATTTTCCATCCATTCCCTTTAACCCACTTGTGTTTGTATATAAAGTGATGCTCTGGGAAACAGCATGTAATTGCACTTGCTTTATCATCAAATCTAACTCGCCTTTTGATTGGACTGGGCTTTTTGTCGTCGTCTCCTTTTTTTAACGATATAATTCACTTGACAGATTATCATATTACGTAAAATTTACCCTTATAAAGTCTAAAATTCAGATATTTTTCGTATATTAACAGGTTTGTGCAGTCATCCTCCCTGTCTGATTCCAGAGCATTTCTGTCTCCCACGGAAGACACCCATATACCCATCAGCAGAGTCACTCCCAGTTACCACCCGCCCTCCACGCACACCCTTCGGCAAACGCCCATCTACCTTCTGTCTCTGTGGATCTACTTTCTGTCTCTGTGGATTTGCTTGTTCTAGATGTTTCATATCCATGGAATCACACAATAGAATACGTGGCTTTTCACATCTGGCTCTGTCACTTAGCATAATGTTTTCAAGGATCATCATGTTGCAGCATGTGTCTGAACTCTTTTAAAATCTTTTTTTAGTGGCCAAATACTCTTCCATGGTATGGCTCTACCGCATTTTGTGTACCCACTCATCAGTTGATGGTGACTTTCTGCCACCTGAGCCACTTGGGTAGGGGAGGGCCCTGGGGCAAAACGGCCACCCACGAATCTCACTGTTCAGGTGTCTGTATTGCTAGGGTGGCCTCCTGGCTGGTTTCTGCCTGCTTTTGCCCACTCTCCTCACCTCCTAATACACTTGCAGAGTATTTTGTCTAGATTTAAGAGCTGTTGTCTTAAGTCTAACCAGGGGGTGTTAGTCTAACCAGGCTACTTTGCTGTTACCAGAGCCAGCACTGTCCTTCATTTTTTTTTTAAAAAATAAATTATTTATTTACTTATTTTTGGCTGCATCGGGTCTTCGTTGCTGCGCGCGGGCTTTCTCTAGTTGCATCGAGCGGGGGCTGCTCTTTGTTGCGGTGCGCGGGCTTCTCACTGCAGTGGCTTCTCTTGTTGCGGAGCACGGGCTCCGGGCGCGCAGGCTTCAGTAGTTGTGGCTCGCGGGCTCTAGAGCACAGGCTCAGTAGTTGTGGCGCACGGGCTTAGTTGCTCCGTGGCCTGTGGGATCTTCCCGGACCAGGGCTCGAACCCGTGTCCCCTGCCTTGGCAGGCAGATTCCCGACCACCGTGCCACCAGGGAAGCCCTGTCTTGCATTTTTATCCGCAGTGTTTGTTCTGGTGGTGGCAGCTGGGTGGTGTGCCTTCCCCAGCTGGGTTGGTGCAGTTCCTGACTGGAGGAAGCTCCCCAGTGGCGACCTCAGCACTGCTGAGACTCGCATTTTGTCTCACCTTCCCTGGCCGTGCTCCTGTTGCAGGCCTCCACGAAGAAGTGGACTACTCGGAGAAGTTGAAGTTCAGCGATGATGAGGAGGAGGAGGAAGCTGTGAAGGACGGCAGGCCAAAGCGGTAAGTGTCCCTGTGCCGCTGATCGCTCCGCTCCCAAGGAGCGTGACCTTAGCGGGATGTAAATGCACCCGTGTTCGTGGTGCTGCCGTGTGCCTGTCACCATGCCAAGGAGCGTGACCTTAGCGGGATGTAAATGCGCCCGTGTTCGTGGTGCTGCCGTGTGCCTGTCACCATGCCAAGGAGCGTGACCTTAGCGGGATGTAAATGTGCCCGTGTTCGTGGTGCTGCCGTGTGCCTGTCACCATGCCAAGTGCATTTCCTGGTTACCCCAGCAGCCTCACAAGGGCAAATACTCTTTCCATTTGCAGATGAGAGGGCCATAGCTTTTGAGGACAGCTGTTCAGAGATGGAGCCAGGATTTGCACCCAGGCATGCCTGGCTGGCTGAGTCCTAGTGATTTAACCACTGTGCCAGTATTTTCCCAAGGGTGTCTTATAGACTGCTTTTTCCATAGATTGCTTTGGGTGTAGTGCCCCAGGAGGCTTCTCTGGCCAAGCAAATTTGGGAAACTTTGTTTTCCACTTAACTGTTTATTAATAAATAGTTCCAAGGTTGTCCAGAGCCTAGAGTGTGCATACTGCCGTGTGCTGGGAATCTGGGGGGAGGCGGGTATGCCATATTTCCTAAACTTATCTGACCACTTTAATCTCTTCCATCTTTTTTTTTGGATCATTCCATTGGACTGATTTTTACTCACAACACCTTTTGGAAAATACTTCATTGTAATCTAGTCCCTCTAGTTTTTAGCATGATACCAGTAGTATTGGCTAGTACTTTTAAAAGAGCACCTATGGTTGCTTTAATTTGCTCCCCCCCGCCCCAGTACTGGCAAGAATGCTTCTTTTTGTGTGAAATTGCCTGTTTCCTTTGTATATTTATCTGTTAGACTTACTCTGCTTTCCGTTAAAATGTGATTACTGTTTTATATTGCTTAGATATTAGTGCTTTAATATTTTTCCCTTTGTCTCTTTTATTGTCAGTAATTGAATGTTTATGTAGTTGGGTCTGCAAGTCTTTGTTATTTCATCTTTCGCTTCAAAGCTCCTCTTGTGCAGGGAGCTGGTAATGATCTGCCACTCTCTCAGATGATACACAAACAATTAACGAATTGAGGCTTCTGTAATTTATTTTAATGTTGCTTGATTTCAACTGAAGCTTTGGATGCACTTGGGAAATAAATATCTGTGGGTCAGTTTTTGGAACACTAAGCTCAGAAGGAGACGTGATCAAGAATTTAAATCAATGGCAAGCAAAGTTTTGCAGATTTATTGGAGCAGCAGGCCACTCTCTTCTTGTCTCTTTGAGTTGATGTGAATTGAATGTTCATCTGAAAGAGTTAGACCTGGGTTTTGGACCCAGTTCACCACTGGCTGTGACCAAGGACACATCAAATTGAGTCCACCAGCCACGACCTCAGTGTGTTCCCTGAGCTGGTTGAGACTCCTACTACAAGCTCCCCAGTCTTCTTTGACATTTTATTTCCCATCCATGATGGGTTCCTGAAACTTTCCTGTTCCATCCCTTCCTGTTCATTGTCTCTGGGGGCCACTGGGACCCACATCCTTTCTTTGCTGCACCATTGAGAGGCTGGCCAGCTCATGTCCTTCCTTCCGTCTCACCCTCACACTGTTCCTTAGTTGTCTTCTGCAGACTTGATCTCTCCTGGTGGGTCAGGAGGCTTCGTGTGGGCGCCTGCCTCTGACTGCAGTCCGGAGCCGCTAGCAGTTGTTGCCCAGTCTGTGGTGTCCCGATCCTCACCCGCCCCACCTCCCTTCCATCTCCCTTCCACCTCCCGTGCGTGCGTGCGTGCTTGTGTGTGTGTGTGTGTGTGTGTGCGTGCGTGCGCACCTGCGCAGACATGTACATTAGCCAGGTCTGACTCCCTGCCTTCCTCTGCACTCCTGCTGGGTTTAGTGGGCACCACTAAAGAAGAGGTGCTGAGTAGATGCACATGTGTGTTTTGCCCCAGGGCCTTTGTTTACACTGGGGCATGTGAAGGTGAGCACTGCACAAGCCTCCCTTCGGTTCGAGCCTTCCCGTAGCCTCCGCTGGGCATCTCTCTCCTCCTTTTCCACGCTGTGTGTGCTTTGCTTTGTTCCTCCTGCTCTTTATCATGAATCAGCCAGTGAGCCTTCTTTTGCTGTTGCGAGGAGCATTTATTAAGCAACTCCTTTATGCAAAGCACGGGGCGGGAGCTGTGGCGTAAAGAGAAGGGCCTTCAGTGGGAGTCCTAGGCTCAAATCTCTTAGCTCTTCCTTGTGAAAACAGCTCCCCAACCTGTCGGAGACTCAATTACCAACTCTTTAACATGGGGGAAGTAGAGACTTTTTGTTTTTGGAGTAAATAAAGTAATGGGTGTGAGGCATCCTGCCAGGAGCTGTGTGTGTAAGGCTGACTTGGTAAACATTGGTGCTGATGTTGGTGCTCTGGGCATATCCTCTCACCTATAGAGGGGGTGCGGGGTAGGTCTGCTCTCATGAAGGAAATTGGTGTGTAGACAGCCAGCTTTGGAATTCCTAAGGGCCTGACCAGTGAGGCCAGACCATGCTTGGGCCGACTGGGAGAACTAACGCTCTGTGTGGTTTGTCCCAGGAACAGTTGGGACCCCAGGAGGCAGCGGCAATTGTCAGTGAGCTCTGCAGACAGCGCTGATGCCAAGCGCACCCAAGAGGAAGGAAAGGACTGGGGCGAAACAGGAGGCAGAACCCGTGTCGTCCGGAAGGTGCCAGAACCTCAGCCGCCTTCTAGGAAGCTTCACAGCTGGGTGTCAGGCCCTGACTACCAGGTACCGTGGGCACTGCAGGGGTTCTGTGCCTGTGATTAGCTGGGACACACACACACGTGTGCACACACACACACACATACACACACACACGAGCCCTTTCAAGTTCATTTGACCGGAGATACACACACACACACACACACACGTGCCCTTTCAAGTTCATTTGACCGGAGATATACACACACACACACGCCCTTTCAAGTTCATTTGACCGGAGATACACACACACACACACACACACTTAACCCCCCCCCCCCCCCCCGCCACCCATTCCCCCTGCCCTAGGCCCTGGCAAGTGTCATTTCACTTTCTGTCTCTATGAGTTCGATTAGCCTGGGTCCCTCAGATAAGTGGAATCATCCAATCTTTGTCCTTTGGTGAATGGCTTCTTTTACCTAGCATAATTTTTCAAGTTCATCTATCTGTGTTGTTGTGATGTGTGTCTGGGTTCCATTCCTTTTTAAGGCTGAATAATATTTCGTTACACACACACTCCACATTTTTATCCATTCATCTATCGATGGGCGACAACTTGGAAATAGATTTTTTTTTTTAATTTACTGAATTGTCCCTCTGCCCCGGTGGAGTGAATGAGTGTCACATGAAGCAGATTCTTTTGCTTCTGTTCCTCCCTGTGCTCTGTGTCTCACACAGAGGGCACTCCGTCAGCACGTGTAGGATGAGCGATGGGGCTACTTAAGGGGGTCTGGTGGGAGCCCACCGAGAAGTCGAGCCCAGCTCAGCCTGGGTTCCAGTGGTCAGGGAAGGCCTTCTGGAGAACGTAGCAGACTTGAAGCAAGCACCTCTCGCAAATAGTCAGCGAGCCCTGGAGTATTAAAAATGTGTTTCTAAGTTGAAATCAGAAATGCATGGGCCACAGAAGAACGCTGGTGGTGGGTCAGCTTGCTTTCCAGAGTCTCAGGCCCTTCGACTGTGGATGTGGTGGGAGTGCTCTGGTGGGGCGGGGGCCGGGGCCACCCAGGAGGCAGGTAGGACTTCACCTCCAGTCATTGAGTTGATTCTCCCAGCGTGCTTTGAGCTCATCTCCGTGTGGAATGGGGGGTGAATCTCACTGCAGGACCAACTGGAAAAAGGAGGTCATCTCCTGCACTCTTTCCACAGTTCCTTTGTGTCTTTAGAGCTTTTTTCGGCAGGTGGTGTTTACATACAGTTCAGAGCTTAGAGCACTGCTCTGTTCCAGGCCGCGCAGAACATGCAGGCCAGTATGGGAGGGCCGACCTGTCAATGGGACTGAATGGGCTGAGTGTTCAGAAATAGTTGGGGAGAGTGGAACGTTGCCCTGAAACATAAAGTGGGATTCTTTCTGATACAAAATTAATTACAAAAGTATACTTACTGGGAAAAAAAATTAAAAGAAAAGAAAAAGCAAGGGTACATAGAAAAATGAAAGCTCTTCCTTCTGTCTTCCCAGGTGGTAGCCACTATTTATGGTTTGGTGTGTTTATCCTTCATGTGAATATGGCCCTTTGTAGGCAGGTTTTTTTGTTGTTGTTGCGGTACGTGGGCCTCTCACTGCTGTAGCCTCTCCCGCTGCGGAGCACAGGCTCCGGACGCGCAGGCTCAGCGGCCATGGCTCACGGGCCCAGCCGCCCCGCGGCATGTGGGATCTTCCTGGACTGGGGCACGAACCCGTGTCCCCTGCATCGGCAGGTGGACTCTCAACCACTGCGCCACCAGGGAAGCACTGTAGGCAGGTTTTTTAAAGAGCAAAAATGGGATCATACTAGTCTTTCTTCATTTTTAAACTTATCATGAGCATTTTTCTGTACTAACATATACAGATCTATCATACTGTTAATGTTTTAAAAATAATACTTAGGAGGTTTTTAAAAAATATGCAAGTGTATGGAAGAAGAAAACAAAAATAGTTCTTAATCCCTTGGCCCAGATATTCCCAGTTGACTTTTTTTAAAAAGTAGTTAGAAAAATTCAATCTGTATTGAAATGCATAAGGGTTCCTCTCCAGTCTCTCTGAAAGGAAACCATTATTTGAAGTTTCTTGTGATTCCTAATAGAAAAAAAATTTATGCATATTATCCATCCATATATATATATATATATTCTTCTTAAAGCAGGTTGCCCTTTTCAATTAATGTCTTGGTGTGCTCCACGAGGGCCTTTTTAGATGTATTACATCATTTATTTTAGCAACTACTTGATTTATCCCGTTTCCTATTGGTGGACAGTTGGGCTATTTCTAATTTTGGGATATTACACAATTTTGGTAGCATTCAGTCAAATTTCTCTTCAAAAACATGTAATTTGTATATAATAGCATGTGAGAACATGTTCCTGTAGTGTGGACTCTTCCTGTTGAATAGCGTTTTGGTAAGAATTCTGTTAAACTCTTTTTCAAAAAACTTTGTGCCAGTTTATATACAATAGTATATGAGAGTGGGTGTTTCTGAACTGTGGGCTTTCCTAAATGGACAGCTTTTGGGGGTCATTTTGGGCATGCGCATTTCCCAAATCAAAAGCAGTGACTGTTTCAGGCTTCCTGTAGTCGGTGTAGGATCTCAGGCTGTGATTGGTGTGGACACGTGTATCAGAAATGGCGTTTGCTGTGGACTCCCAGTGCAGAAGTGGCCCTGGGCATCTCATTAGGTAAGGCCAGTGGGGGAACCGGCGGGGGGGTTGTGGGGAGGGGCACAGGTAGCCAGATCTTAGTTTGATTTTCCTTATCGACTAAAATGATGGTACTTGGCACAGAGAGCCTGGCAGAGAGAATTCAGAGGCCTCCTCCGTTTGGAGTTCTCACATAGCCCTTCCGGAGATTTCTGAGGCTCGCATTACAGCCCTTGGTAGTCTTGTTGTTAATGCATCTTACTGTGGAATTTATCCGGAGGCCTGTGCTCTGTTGTGTTCAGTTCTCAACTCAGCCACTTGGCCGCCGGCCCCGACTTTCCCGGCCTGGTTATTCTAGGAGATCACACCTAGTGGGCGAAGTGACTGTGGAAGTGAAGCCCCTGGAAACGCCTGGGTGGTATTTCATCAGGCTGGGGCCTCTGGTGAGGTGAGTGCCCCGGGGAGGTGCCGACTGGCCCTTGCGGGCTGTTATTGTTAGCGCGAACCTAGAGAGAAATCGCAGGGAGAGTTGGGGATGCCTCGCCCCCCTCCTCTGCTCCTTTCCTGAGGGAGAGTAGCCCTTGCCTTTGATGGTCAGCTGCCTTCAGATCCAGGTTCTTCCACTTGCAAGCTGGGTGATTAAGATTATTTAATCTTTTGGAGTCTCTGTTCTCTTTCTCTGCAAAATATCATAGTAACGCCTGCCTCCTAGAATTGGGGGAGGATTCAGTGGGTCCTACGCTGAAGTGTTTCTAAGGTGCCTGGCACGAGGCGAGCAGGCTCTCAGTAAACAGTAGCTATTAATGGTTCCTGGATTCAGCACTAGCTGAGGGCCTGGGGGGTTGGAGTAGGCAGGCTTATACACCTGGGGCTCTTTTGTTTACTAGATGCTGGCGTTTCTAATTGTGTGCTAAGCCCTGTGCTACATGCGGAAGATTTAGACCCGAGTCAAACAGCCCCTGCCCTCACCTCCAGGAGCTCAAGACACCTTACCAAGGGCCTCCCCTCGGGGCGGGGGCATCGGGGCTCTTTCTGCCGTCCACCTCTCTCTAAGGTAAATACCCCCGGCAGGAGCCTTTGATCACTGGCTGCTGCCCTTCCCTGAGTTGGTTCTGTTCTTGGAGAGTTTTAGGTAAATGTCTTGAGAGGAATGAAGATGAGGTTTGTTAAAGTTCATGGCATCAGGCAGACAGGAGGGCTCATTTCTGCTGTTTACACCTTCCTGGACCTTGAACAGGCCTCCTTTACCCCTTTGAGCCTCTGTTTCTGTATCTGCCGGGTGGGGATGGAACCTGCCTCTCAGTGTTGCTGTGATGATGGCGCCTAGTCAGCTCGGAAACAGGATGATGTGTTGCTACTTTATTGCTCAGTTTACCTAGATCTTAAAACAATGTAACAGTAACATACAGGCTTGTTACAAAAAACCCAAACACGCCAGAAGTACACAAAGTAGAAAGTAAAAGTCATTCCTTCTTGCTGCTGTCCTTCAGATGGAGAGATGATGAATGCTGTCTTGAAAACAGTTTCGTTTTCCAGTAACGGGAATGTTTTAATTGAACGTGTGAGTTTCATCCCTGAAGTGACCACCGGAAAGCAGGAGATACGAATGTTTATAGGTGTACTTAAGACATTTCATATGTGGTTTCCCAGCATTGTCGCTTCAGTCCTTTCCTGCCTTCTCAAGGAAAAAAGAAAGGGCGGTGGTAATCCTTTGTCCACCTGTATGAGTCCTAACGCTGTGTTGGTCCTACTAGCGGCGGCCAGAGCAGCTTTACCCAAGTGCTGCCCTCCAGAGATCTTAAGGCAACGTGATGAGCTTTTGATGTGGGAGTTTGGGGTACGGGGGCAGGGTGGGCCGTGTGGTCTGTGATGTGGACTTGGTAGGGGAAGGGGCAGCAGAGTCTGTGATAGTTCAGGAACTGGGGAGAGATGATGGAGTGGGACGGGACTGGGGGCTGTGAGAACAGAGTTCTCTCAGGATGGGGAAGGTCTTGTAATGCCCGTTTATTGTAAATAACCAATGAGTAAAGTTGGTGTGCTTAGGTGAAGGCACATGTTCCTCTTTTCTTTCGCTGAAATGATGGGCTGGCATCCCTCTGAAAGCCCCTGGGCAACACTTGGCCCTGAATTTTGGGTTCTTCCTTTTCATAACTTCAGACCTGCTCTTGCCTGATTGGTGGCCCAGGGACTGTCACCATCCTGGGTTTCCTCTAGAGTCTGAGGCTTGGAGAATAAATAGCATATGGGTTCTGGGGCTGTAGTCCTTTGGGCTTGTTGGAGATCATTTAAACCAACCCAGCCCTTTTAGCCCCCCCACCTTCAGTATATTTTCTGAAGAAAATAAATATTTGGTTTTATTTTCTTAAAAGAGAAGGTGGTTTGTGGGGCGGGGGGGTGGTTAGTTGTTGAAGAACCATCTCTGTGTCAGCAGACAACCTCCTGCATGTGGCTTAGCTCTGAGATGGCGTGATAGAGTGAGAAAGAGCGCAGGGCGACACCTCGGCCTGGTACTTCACCCCTCAGCCTCCGTTTCCCCATCTAAGTGGGGCCGACAGTGAGGACGGCCACCCCGG